ATGCAGTCCCAGGTGCGCGGCATGCTGATCCGAACGATGCACCAGGCTCTGGCCGAATACGAGAGTGATCCCTATGTGGCATCTGGAGTGGACTTTATGCAATCTGGAGTAAGTTTACTATAATATAATAACGAATATAAATTTATTAATCACTCCTCTTCTGACAGCTTGAGTGCTGCGGAGTCAATCAGCCTGAGGATTGGATGGACTACTATTCTCCCAACAAGAACCTTACCCTTGGCTCCGATGATGTCGTTGTGCCCAACTCGTGCTGCGGAAGCCTTGAAGAGGATGTCACCGATCCCACTCACACCCAGGTGACCTGCCATCAGACCTTCAACTATGGTTGCTTCCGCAAGATGAACTTCATTGTGTCGCAAAGCGCCATGCTGATTGCCACCGGAGCCACCACTGTAGCCTTTGTCCAGCTCTTGGGTGTTCTCTGCGCCTTCATGTTGGCCAAAACGCTGCGCCGGAATAAGTCCATTCGCGAGGCTCGTCGCTGGCAGCTGCAGCAGAGTCTTGGAGTTCTCATATCCGGCGGAAAGATGGGTCCGCCCCAGAACTCGGCGGTCACCGGCTACCAGCAACTGGACAACGGCGAGCAGGGTATCCACGAACCTTACACCTATACACCCCAGAGTCCCAGCGTTAACTAAGCTCTGGTGGAAGTCATATATATATTTATACCTATTAGAACACCCAAAGAGATCCGTTTGTAAATGTAACTTTTTAATTTGTTAATCAAAAAACCAAAAATTCAAACGAAATAAAGCGCTGGTCCTTGCTAGCTAGGACTGCTTGCGCAAATCCTTGGCGAACTTCTTGAGTAGCCTTAGCTGCTCCACAATACTGGCACTGGAGGTGCCACCAATGGCATTGTACTGCTGCACGTTATTAGAGTAATCCGCCACACTGACTATGTCGGACCCAAAGGAGGGACAGAAGGCTTGCAGCTCGCCCAGCGGCAGATCGGTGATATCCACACCACGCTCCTCGGCCAAGGAAACCACACGGCCAATAACATGATGTGCCTGACGGAAGGGTAACCCTTTCTTTACCAAATAGTAAGCCTGGAATGCATATATATGAGGCATTATAATCATAGAAAGAGGGAAATAGAAAGTATAATCGGGAAGTTATTCTACTCACCCAATCTGTGGCCAACATATCCGTGCTGAGGGCAGCTTCCATCGAATTCTGCTGCACCTGCATTGTCTGCAGGACACCATCGGCTACCTCGAGCACCTGGGAGAGCTTATCAAATGATTGGAAGCAATACTCCTTATCAAATTGCAGGTCCTTGTTGTAGGTGGACGGTGTGCCCTTAATGGTCATCATAATGCCTGTCAGATTTGAGGTGATCACACCCGACATGCCACGAATCAGTTCCAAGCTATCTGGATTCCGTTTCTGAGGCATCAGGCTGCTGCCACTGGAGAAGCTATCGGCCAGACGGATGAAGTCGAACTCCTTGGTGCTGTAGATGATCAGATCTTCGGCCAAACGGGACAAATGGAGGCTGACCAAGGAGCAGCAGTAAATAAAGTCAACTGAAAGAATTGAAAACCGTATGATTATCTGTTATTATTGGGGAAGAGCTATTTTTTAAGACTTTTTACAAAGTAAATATTATAAAAATAAAAATTAAGTTTACTTAATATTACAACATATTTTTTGGAAATACTTAATTTCTCTTCAAACAAATATACCCAAAGACTTCGAGAATATAGGGCACCGAGCCCTTCTTATCAGACACCCCTTGAAATAATCTCCTCCAGGCGGCACGCTGATAAGAAATCAATTGTGCTAATTGCAGTATCGACGACTTTGAAATGACTTAAGAAAGTGATCTTTTGACATGAGAGATCTTCCCCTAGACTCACCTACAAAGTCGCGATCTCCTACCGCATGCATACTATTGGGTGTCACACCCGAGAAACCCAGGCGCTCAGCCAGCCATAAGCGGTCGATTCCAAGGGGATTCCCCGCCAGAGCTCCGCTGCCCAGAGGCAGGACATTGGCCCGCTCCCGTAGCTCTGCCAGCCGCAGGCCATCTTCTCGCAGGGCAAATGCATGGGACAGTAGCCAATGGGAGAACTGTACGGTCTGGGCGCGCTGAAGGTGCGTGTATCCTGGCATCAGGACGCCCAGGTGATGCTCCGCCTGACGACTGGCTGTTTCTATGACGCGGCTCAGGCGGCCCAGGGTCTCGCGGATAGCCTTGCGCAGCCACAGCTTCATATCCGTGACCACCTGGTCGTTGCGACTTCGTCCAGTGTGCAGACGTTGCCCTAGTTCGCCGGTAATCTCCACCAGCAGCCGCTCGTTTACCGTATGCACATCCTCATCTCCTGGCTTAAATTTCACTGTTCCCTCAATCCAGTCGAAGCGCAATAGCTCCAGGCTCTTGACCAGCTTATCCGCCTCCGCTGCGTCCAGGTGACCAGCTCGGTGGAGAGCCTCTGCGTAGGCCTTGCTGGCATCCAGATCATCCGCATATAGTCGGGAATCGTATGGCAGACTATTGTTCAGCACCTGCAGAGCTTCGTGTGGCTTCTGGCTGAAGCGACCGCCCCACATTTGGTAGCAGTTCTTGGGGAGCGCGGGTGGCTGCAGTTTCTGGGACATGATGGATCCGTCTTCGTAACCGTTTAATGTCTACTGAAATCGCTCTTCTATATTGCGCTGCTCACGAATACAATATTTTACTGTTTATATAATCGTGTTATCTTTAAAAATAATATGTTGCTCGGTTTTTTACGAATTGAGAGTGATTAGAACAAGTCAGCTGTGGGACAGACAAAGCAAACAGTGGTTTAAAACATTTTAATTAAGTGTGCCGACTACAGAATACCCGGTTCCACTTTCCAATAGAATAGAATATAAAGAATAGGGAAGACAAATTCTTAATTCTAAAAAGGAATTAAAAACGCTTCAGAAATAAAATTAAAATATATAAATCGGGGCACCAAATGTCAAAATCGCAGTTTGGCCCTCAAAGCTTGTAAAGTATGTACAATAAGGCTATAATTTAAATTTAATGCTAGTCATTTTTAATAAATTGCATTTAAACAAACGTACTTATATTCTTTTAATATAAGAATTTTACAATTTTATTGTAAATTATATAGAAGCGTCTCAAACATTAACAATAAATTCAAATTAGTACTTATTATTTAACCACTGTACTCTTCTCTCTTGTTAGGTTCTCTCCTCGCGATTATTGTTTCTTATTTTTTAATTGACTTGAGCCATAAACAAAACAAAAACAAACAAATCCACGGCAAGGCAGAGAGAGATACAGTGCCGCTTATCAGCCAAGATTAAAATCACCAGAGCGTGTGTAGCCTCTGACGCTTATTGCCGCAAAACTTCCAGATAGTTTGAATGTGATGGGCGCGACGTTGACAAGCCAATTATGGGGAGAGATCCTCTAGGAAGAGTTTATTTAGTTCACAGCACAGTCGATTAAGAGGCAGGCCCATCACGCAGTAAAAGTCACCATCGATACGGTGGATGAGGGCGCCACCAGGGCCCTGAACGCCATAGGCACCTGCTTTATCTCTGAATGGATACAATTTTAACTAATATGGAACGTTAATTCGGGGGCTTTATCTTACAATGGATCCTTTGAGTCCACATAGCTCTGAATTTGTTCTGGCAGCAAATCACCAAAGTAAACATCCGCCGTGTCCGTAAATTTACGAATACCATTGGCATGTTTCAGAACAACGCCACTAAATACTCGATTGGAGGTTCCAGACAAACTGTGAAATATAACATATTGATCTAAAGCAGTGGTAAAATTCTTAAATTTAAACCGTACAAAATACTGGAACGTGGGTAAAAATTATATAAAGAATTAATTCGATTCTGGTAATTACTTGGTCAGCATGCGAATAGCATCAGCAGCATCCTTGGGCTTTCCATAGATCTCCTTTCCCAAAGTCACCATCGTATCTGCAGCTATAACTACAAGATTCTTATTATCCCCTGAGGCACTTAATCTGGAGAAGACTTCCTCCGCTTTTCCCATAGCTGTGGCCTCTATATAATCCGAGAATTCCTTGAAGTCATCCAGATTCAGGTTCTCCTCGAAAGTCGAGGGACACAGCTCCGCGTTCAGGCCCTTGAATTGAAAATATAAATCTGAATAAAACAGTCTGTGGACATTATCAGATTGGTTTTACCAGCATTTTCACCAGTTCCTGTCTCCTCGGAGAACCGCTCGCCAAAACTATCCGGTAGTTGCCAATAAATGCTTGATTGGCGCCAACATTATTAATTTTGATTTATGTACAAAAAATAACAAACATGTGCGGGTGGGAAAAGAAATGGTAGGACCAACGCGCTTAGTGCGGCTTCTTTTACTGAAATACACTAATTTGTATTCAGTATTATTCACATTTTAAATTCTTGACACTTCTGCGATTTTTGTAAAATAGCAACCCCAATGTTTCTACTTTGTGATATAAAAAATAACATTTTTTAAGAATTGTTAAAAGATTTTTTAAAGTAAGGGTAAAAAGGTTAATTTTGCTCTTTGAACAGTTTGTTTGTGTTTCGCCCGCCAATCAGCTGTTCGTACAACCCGACGGTATTTTTTACAAAGCTGGCGTTTTTCGGTATTTATTGTTCATTTCCCTGCGGTCATACTAGTGGTATCCTAAAAACAAGACAATTGTGCAATTTCTTCGGAAAAACTAAACAATTGAATAAAAGAGCGCGCAACTTTGTTGTTGCGGGAGAGAGGACGCGGGAGAGAGTTTGAGAAAGCGGATTCAAATATATTCATCGCCGCAGAATGCAGCCTGCCGCCGTTGTGCTGTTGCATAAATTCCGTTAGTAATTTTAACTATTTCTACCGCCTCTATTGTTTTTGTGGCCGCTATTGTGTAGTTTTGCGCGTGTGCAGTGTGGGTGTCTGTGTGTGTCTATATTAGCTTAGTGATATTTATATTCCTAATTACAAACGTTGTGTCCGGCGGTCGTCGTCGCGAATTAAAAGTTTTAGTTTGCCATCGGCGGGCAGAGCTCTTAGTCGTCAATATTACATCAAACTAACGGTGCTTACGTGCCACACGACGCACACGAACACACAACGCCGCCTTCACCTTGAAGTGCCTGTCAAATTGTTAGAATCACTTCCTATTTATTTGTCGTTATTTTGAACGGAACTTCTTACACCGCGAGAGCGAAAAATAGTGGTGTCAAGGTAGCCTGCATACAGTTACGTTCAAAATCATAGTTTGTGGCCATTTCTAGAGAACAACATTTGATGTGATCTATAAATTAATTAAAATTAAAGGAATCAATAAACAATAACCAATAATATATATTCGTGTATTGAAATCACAAATACATTTTAATTAATCGATCTAAGTATTGAGACAATATGATTACATTTAAATTAACAAACTGCAATATACAATATAAATAATAATAATAATAAAATTAAAACTAATTGAATATTTAACAGAAATTCTCTTGAATTCTATTGTTATGAACCCAAATGTACATTTATGTTTATATGGGAGTCTGGGAAAGAAGAGTGTGGACAGCTGATAAGGCGATTTTATTGTTTCAGTTTCTTAATTGCACTTTGAACGACCCACAAAAATAAATACAAACATTTGTATTAGTATTTGTATTTCGTGTCTGTTTTTTCGCAATAAATAAGCAATTGTTAAATTTATTTCATTTATTCGTTAATTCTTGCCCAAAAAAGTGTGTAATTCAGACATGTCTATTGCATCAGCGCTGACTTAACAGAAACGCACCAAAAGTGTTAATGTTTTTAATTTATAATAACAATATAAAATGCAATACTAATTACTGTTGATTAACAAATATTCTCGAATTATTAATTACATTGATCACGGTAGATTAAATGGCTTGTAATTTAAATAACAAGTTTCAGGACATTTGAATGAATATCACAACACAAGATAACTAAATTCCCTTAATCTTGTGTGTCATTGTTAACGCACTTTACTCAATTGTATTAAAAACCATTTTGAATGTAAACAAAAAGAAACTACTTATTTGCCTAAATACAGGAATAGTTAGTTATTCACTCCGAGAAATGAGTCATATTTAATATGGGAAACCACCGCACGACAAAGGCAGAGAATTAGTGGTTTTAATTAAGTATAGTATTTATAATAGAATACCTTCGTAGGTAACAAAATTTCTCTTTTACTTTAATTAATCCACGAACACCCATTAAAAATTGGATAAACTGATTAAAAGTATCACTACGAATAACCTCTTGATGCTATGTACATATATTTTGTACCAAAGTATAGCCATTTTTTATAATTTCTGAAACTGTAAGGGCATACAAATGTTGTCTTGTTTAAGATGTACATACATATTTTACTCTCTTGTTGTTACCAAAAGTAACTCTCTCTTTCTCTTTCACCAACAGGGCAAGCGGACGGCATACAATTATCACGTGTTTGACTCTGGCCACAATTTTGTAGCCAACGATCACGCGCGATCCATTCTCACTCTCTCCCAGCCACTCGTACTCGCGGACCTGGCTGATTTTAGGTACGTTGTTCCAGTAAACATGAATGCTTTTTCCGTAACTTTTCCTGCCATTTTTCCATGGTGTCTATATATCGCTATTTGACCACAATTTATGTTTAAAAGCTTTATCCTAATTCCTTTTTATAAGACATAATTTCCAAAAGTAGTTATTGGGAACATAACTCAATTAAGTTTTAATAAAATTAGTTTAAGAATTTTTTAATAATATTGATTATTCATATTAGTTCAAAAACACAGTAAATAATAATGATAAATTGTGAGAAAAGCATTCAATATCTCTAATATTAATTAATTACTCAATGTAATTTGTTGAATTATTGTTTAACAAAAACGACTGTAAGAAATATGTGCTCTTTTCTGTATAGATTTTAATACGTCCGACTGGGCTCTCCCGCGATGTTCTCACTACAGCAGCTGGTCCGAGCGGCGGCATCTACGCCAAACGGAGGCAGTGATCTCTACAGGCTGCTTCGGCACCTGGGCAACGCGACGGCAGCAAACACGACCACAAGCACAGCGGCAGGTACAGCTAGAGCTATACCAAAGCAACAACACAGCTCTCTAGTCAGGCGAAGTTCGGCGACAGCGACAGTCACAATTCACCCTCGCACGCGGACGGTTATAGTCACTGCGAATCAGAGTCGGATTTGGAGTCGGCGCACCACGGCAATCATTTTCCATCAGCCCACCAATTGGCCCGAAAGCTATTGGAGCAGCGTAGCCAGGATATCCAGCGTCAGATTCATACACAATCGGTCAGCGGACAGCGAGCCAAGTCCTCCCAACAGCAGCAGCAGCAAACCACCACCAAGTTCGCCATGTCATCGCTAGCGGCGGAGCCCCTGCAAGCCCACAAGGCGGATGAAATCACGGCCTCCGGGGCGGACAATGCCGTGGAGTCCCCTGGACTGGGTGCCTCCTGTCATGATGTGGCCTCCGCATCGGCCAGTGCCGGTACAAAGGCCTGCTTCAGCACTGGCCTTGGCGAGATCATACAGTTCATGGAGCTCATTGGCAATCTGAAGGTATGCGAAACGTAACCAGTTTTCCAGCTGCTTTCCTTTATAATTCACCCTTCTTTACTCACAACTTACGCGTCATATGTTTGTATTGATTTTTCCAAAAAGGAACTTGTTTTGATTTTGCTTTTCGGGTGTTTTGTCGAAGAGAATCATAAAAATATATTGTGAATATAAGTTTATATATTTATTTAATGCGAAATAGTCGAAAGCTACGCATTTCTAAACAAAAAAGTGTATAGATTTTTGTATAATCCTCAAACAATTATTTGTCTTATTATTTAAATGAAACGTAGTTTTTTATGCCTTGAAATTTTCTAAATTTTTGCTTGTATGATCATAATTAAATATGGAGACTTATTTTTCTGTTTCATTAGGTTCGAAAAGTAGCCTTCAACCAGAGTATGTAGGTGTTAACACAATTAAGAAAGAAATAAGTCAACCAAAAGACCTCAAATATTTTATTTGATCAACTTCGTTTGATTTTTTATTAGATTGCTGTTGTTTTGAATGACTTACTATTCATTATACTTTATGTGATGTCAGCATTTTAAATCGTTTCTTTTATACAATTTCCTATTAAATCATAAATGTTATTTAAATTATGAGTCAGCCATTTCATAATCAGAAATTCTTATCTCACTTCTACTCGTGTCTCTAGTAATAAAAGACTGCATAATATAAGCTGCTCTTATCAAAATATTTTTTTCAAATCCCCCCTATTTGAGATTTAGACAGCAAATCAAAAAAAAAAATAAACAAAAAGAACGCACAGATTTTATTTATTTACTTTTTGTGGATATAATCTATTCTATTTTATCTACACTCTGGCGTTCTTTTGTTTTGTATATTTGCGAATGTTGTATAATGCCAGAGTCAGAGGCAGCCTCGCTCTCGAATGTGTCCCTCTCGAAGCAATTTGTATAGTCGATTGCCAAAAAAAAAAACATATTTATTTATATATATTTATACATTCGTATGTAGTTTTATAAGTATAATGTTTTTGGCTTGGTACAAAAATTGTATTTGCCATTTGCAGTCCATTTATCAGTTATGATATCGTTTGATATAGCTAAATGTAAGCCATAAAAGCTCTTGACTTTTGTCAAGAGCTGCACACTTTCTGGAACCCATCAGTATTACGATTAGATAATTGCCGCAACTGAAACTTTGAAGCAATCAACAAAATGACGAAAATGCACAGAACACGGGACTTGATTGCTTATCGACAAAACCATTCGAAAGTAAAACGCTCTTGTAACTTGAGCAGCTGTCCATGAATTCCATGATTAACAAGCTCAAAGTTTCTTTTTGCTTTTGTTTTCACTTGCGAATCCCAAAATATTTGCAACAAAATAGCAAACATACGTAAATCGCAAAGGCAAATTCCAAATGGCTCACGTGAGCACAATGAAATGTATATTTTGTTATTTTTGCTTTTGTTTTGGAGCCCCCACGAAACCATTGACGTATGACCAACAGCAGATTCAAGGAGAACTACAACAAAAAATGTTCCCAGAGCTATTTTCTAAAATTTCTTTATTACCCAATTATATATATCTGTGTGTATCTGAACAGTAGTATATAGAGCGTGCAAAAGCAAAATGAAAAGAAAAAGCGACGCGTGACTTTGATCTTGGCCTTCAAAATATAGACGCTATCTAAACGAGTTGAGGGTACACCTCAAGGGGTTAGATTTCTATAGAATATTTTTGTTTGCATTCTAGAAGCTTTCTAAGGCAGAGAGAAATGAGAGAGTTCAATGTCAACACATACAAATTAATATAAATCCAAATAAAACCGATGAGCCAATTGCTTACTACGCCTTCAACTCAAATCTTGCTGTCATTTATCAGTCTATAACTAAAGTCAATATTGATATACATAACATATTGAATCAGCAATGCGATTAATAAACAAAACTCAATAATGCACATGTTTGATCCCGGCAAATCCATTTTATTAATACGAGATATGACATTTATCTTTTATATGCATCATTATGCATGTTGTACCCAAACTCAGTGGAATCTTTTCCTCCTGATAAGGTATCCAATTTATTACGTGACCTTAACCAGAGATCTGGCCAACCAATCAGTCATTGCCTTTGATAAGTCATGGACTATTGACTATATGATTAAAGTCGAAGAGCTGCAGGCCTTCTAGCCATTTAATTAAAACATAATAATATATACATATGGAATTGGGAAAACTTAATTTACGGATGGCAAGGAAAGGCAAATGGCTTGCAACGTCTTTTGGACCTTGTGCATACACTCGTCGCCGGGTTGCTATAAATAAAACGTTTATTGATCAAATAGCAACAGTCTAGAACAGGCCCTCCTCGGTGGCAGGTATGAGTGGAAGGTCTGGGGCAGGCGCCACCAACCTTGATGTGTTGTGCAGCAAGCGAACCCGGCAACGATGTCACCAGTGTCGCTTCGTTGTCAATGTTTTTAATTAGCCAAAGTGGCAGGTGGGCTATCAGTGAGCATATTCCTTAGGTTATCCCAGGAACATAGACAACATGGAATACCTGAGAAATATGCAAGCTTTGTTCTCTTAAATATCAAGCTATTTCCCCAATGTTCACTACATAGTTAAATAGAAACTGGCACTTATTTCGAGAAATGTCCCGTAATTGATAATATTTAACATATTACTATATCTATAGACCTCTTAATAAATATCCCTTATTCTTTATCTTCCTCTCCCTTACAGCACACGAAACGCACTGGCTGGGTGCTACGTGATGTCAACGATTGCGAATCGATTTCGGGTCACATGTACCGGATGAGCATGTTAACCTTCTTGTTGGACGGCAGCGAGGGACTAAATCAAATTCGATGCATGGAGCTAGCGTTAGTTCATGATTTGGCTGAGAGTTTAGTGGGTGATATAACGCCTTTCTGTGGCGTGTCCAAGGATGAGAAGCGTGCGATGGAGTTTAAGGCCATGGAGGATATATGCAAGCTGATTGAGCCGCGTGGCAAGCGCATTATGGAACTTTTTGAGGTAAGCATTCAATTTAACCTTTATATAATACACAAATTAATAACGAAATGTATTTCCAGGAATACGAGCATGGCCAGAGTGCCGAGAGCAAGTTCGTAAAGGATCTGGATCGTTTGGACATGGTTATGCAGGCGTTTGAGTACGAGAAGCGTGACAATTGCCTCCTCAAGCATCAGGAGTTCTTTGACTCTACCGAAGGCAAGTTTAACCATCCGTTTGTAAAGAAACTCGTCAACGAATCTACGAGCAACGTGATGTCCTGGCCAAGGCCAAGGGCGCCACGCCGCCGCCAGCCATTGAGGTTCCCAGCATGGAGAAGTCTTCGAAACTGGCCAACGGTCATGACAGCTCGAGTTGAGCGTTATTCTAGGAACCACCTCTTAGGCTATAGCACATGAACACATACACACACATCCTTCTCACTATGCTCTTAATTTGTAAGCCAACAACAAATCCAACTAACAAACTGTTACGCCTACCTCGACACGCTCATAGTTAGACTTAACTTTTAACACACTAATTTATTGCGAAAGAAATGTTGAAGACGATGTGACGTCTCCTTAGTTCAATTTCCTCTATGTTAAGCGTAAAGTTGCAGAAGAGTTTTAGCTAAATATTCGATTGATCAGACTAAGAAACAACACACACAATTGTACATAGCTAAAATGAATTGTAGTTAATTTTAAAGATGAACAGAAGAACCGTGCACGAGATTCATTATTATTGTAAATTATGTCCTATAGCAATTTTATTCAAACCGACAAAATAATGAGTGAATCAAAAATTATTCTTCAGCAACTAAAATAATCAAAATTACTTGATTTTATCTTATAATTTGTACACCCTCTTAACGAATCGAACAATTGTTATTACAAAAATTATAATTAACAAAAAAAATTGTAAATTAGGCAGTATATATACATATATATAAAGATGCAGTCACGCCTCAGAGTGGCTAAAAAGACAAAGATGCAATTGTTTTAACTGCGCTGGCTCACTTTATTGAGGAAACATAGAAACACAATCCAAAGTGGATGGAATTTACAGCTCATATCAGCCGCATTTGCTATGTATTCTGAAAAGGAAATCGGATTTATATCTTATAGTATATAATCTTTAGAGAAACTAACCTTCAATAACAATGAACTGGCTCTCGCGGGAGGAGGTCTGATGGGAATGCTGACCATGTTTTTGGCTTTATCTGTGAGGGAAATAAGTCTAGTGATAAGGATACATCTATGCTAAAACAAAGTATCTACATACGATGCACTGTGATTATCTTATCTGTCTGTCCCATCGCATTCTTGGCTCTGCATTTGTACTCCCCGAAATCCCTCTTTGTTATTGGACGCAGTGTGATCCGCATCACAATCCGATGGACATAATCTACTGTGACGGATTCATAGGAACCTCCTGGCAGCAGTTCAGAGTCCTTTAGCCAAAAGTTCACAGATGCTGGCTGGGACTCGGTGATGCATTCTAAAGTAAGCTTTTGACCCAGACCCACGTAGATGGTATCGTAACGAGTCCAGATGGTGGGCGCAACTTTAAAGGGAATAGAATAGAATTAGAATTCTATTTAATTAGTCGACTCACAGTTCACCACCAGCATGACGCGCTTGCTGACTGTGGGAGGCACTCCATTGGAGGCGATGCATAGGTATGCCCCATGTGAGCACGCTGGACTTGCCACAAGCTGAGATTCTGCCCCTCGACGCTGTAGACCTCCTGATCGGCGGAATCCTCGGAAAGGAGGAGGGGAGTTGATTCCTCACGACGCCAGGTAATAGTGGGCAGGGGAACACCCGTCGCACTGCAAGTGAGCGTCACATTCTGACCCGTGGCACGGACCACATCCTGACTGGTCTGGTAATCAACGATGTCCGGTGGCACCACCACATCCAAATAACCCATCTGACTCTTCATAGGATCTGTGTTGATTTGGCACATGTACCTAGGGAGATATACGAAAATAAAGATACTTTAAATTATGGATACTTAACACTCACCATCCGCGATCCGATTCCTGGACATCGCGTATTCTCAGCTGCCAGATGCGATGCTCCGTGTGCGAGATGGCAATCCGATGATTCTTGGTGATTACATGGTTCTGGATGCTCAGAATGGTCTGCGTGTCCACCCGCAACCAGGCCACCTTGAAGCTAACCAGGTCGTGGACAATACACGTGAGCAGGGCATCGCGTCCCACGGGAACTGTTGAGTTGTTGATGGGACCACTGAACTTGGGATCCGCTGGAAGGGAAGATTGCATCAAGAAGAGACCCAATTGGTTGACATTTATGACTCTCCTCATTAGGGGAATAAATGGGGCAAACTGAACCCGAGATGGAGCTGCTCCCGGGGTGGGTTTGCTTTATGAGGCTTGCAAATGTTAGAGACTGGCATTTGGTCCTCGGTTCAGCCATTTCGGGGAACTCAGGCGCAAAGAATTTAATTCAATTAAAAAGTAACCACTTTTCTTATTTTCCCAACGTGTTGCCGCCATCCATTTCTAATCCACAAATTCGGGGATAATTATTTCATTTCTTTTCCACACACCAATTCTGTGTGTGTCTGCAAAATGTCAACAGCCTAAGCTGAAAATTGTTTAACATTTTCCAGATGCCCGTCGTCAGGAGTGGTCAAGGATATTTAAAATTGTACAACGGTCATAAATTCGTTGAGGTTAACATTAAGCCGGGACAGCAGCAAATAATCCCAACAATTAGTGAAATTAAAAGTTTATGCCGGATGGCAACAGCAAGTGAGATATTAAAAATAATATTTCCAACATGAAACAGTATTTAGGATGCAAATAAAATAATTTCTTAGATTTTAAATTTGTCTTATTTTGTATAGTAAAATGAACCTTAATCAAAGGGTACAATTAATGTCATTATTATTTACATTCTGTAAGTAAACTCTTAACCCTTCCATTACTGTTTCATTTCTTATTTTACCCTATATTGTTTTTCTTAATTTAAAAACTCCAACCTTCTCCACCCCAAGTTCAAACACCTTTCGACTGAAATAGTTAATTCTGGTCGGTGGTCGATTTTATTCAAAGCGGGTCCCATTGCAATCACTTCCAGTCAAGCCAACCGCAAGACTTCGACATTCTGCCATCATTCGACTAACCACCAGAGTAGCAACCGCACACACACCTCACACACACCACATTTAACAATGCCTAAAAAAATATATATAGAAATCACATCACATCAAATTGCCTAGCAAGTAGCTGAAACGAACACCTCAACCTCAACCGCACACAGCAAATACGTAAATTACAATTATGAGCAAATAATAACCCGAAAAAATGCAAAAATTTAGTGCCGGTACCTGGAAAATTGTAAAAAAAACACACACCTTTGGCATTCACCCCAAGCCCAGGTGAGAGGGCGTGTTTCCACCAAACTAGCATTAAATTGAGGAGGTGGAAGGGAGCCTACCACGTCGCGCCATATAGCCTATAATTTGCGATTATGTTTTGGGTTCGGTCCGAGTTGGGGTCCCCATCGTCGCCCTTTTTTTTTTTTTGGTTCGTTTTACTGTAAATGTTACAGACGCCATTGTTTGACGACTGCCTTCAGTTGATATGGTTTTGTTTCCGCCTCCGGTTCTTGTTGCTGTTGTTATTCGCAGTTTGTTGTTATTGCAATTTGGATATTGCATGTTTGCATATTGAAAATATTTCAAAGAAAGGAATGAACGAGACGGTTTTAAGCATAAAACACATCATATTATATGGTGGGTTCACTGAGCACAAATAGAGCCAAGAAAGTTAAGGGGCCTTGATTAAAGTGCAAGTAACAGTAAGATAAGAGAAAATTATCCTTCTTTATAAATATTTAAAGAAACAATTTTTTTAATTTAAGATTAATTTTTCATTAATTAGATACAAAATGTAGTTATTTTTAGGCTAATTAACTTTGACCAGTAATGACTTGCAACTTTTGTAATAGAAAAACAAGTGATAGTTGGCCGGCAGTCGTCACTTCGTTCCGGGGATGTTAGAACTAGTTGGGAATCATATGTACACAAGTGCGACATTTTTTTGGAAAAAGTTTAAGTGTGAATAAAATTCCTTAATTCATTAAAAATGTTTCCTAATTAAAAAATGTTCTTAGTTTTAGGGATTTATTTTTTGGGTGATTTTTTAAATATAATAATATATTTAAGATTTATTATTATTATTTTATTAATTATTAGTCACAAAAGTAGCTAATCAAGCTATTGGAGTAAATAATATCAAAGAGAGTATGGCAAATCTCATAAACTATTTTTTTTTCTAAAAATTAAAACATCATTATTGAAGAACAAGTATCTTAAATAAAAATTATTCAACGTTTATAAAATATTGGTTAAAATAGCATCTTTATTCTTGTGATTACAAATTCATTAGCATCCTGGAGCACAAAATAGGTAGTTTTCTTTGACAACCAATAAGCCACTGATCTTGATGATTATAATATTATATATTTTTCAGTAAATTATATTTTATTTGTAAAATTTTCCAAGTGCATAACTATTTTTTGGTTCATTTATGTCTGGCGGCAGGTAATTTACGTTCATGTTTAACTTTTTAGTTACTTAATTCCTATGTTGTTTCTCTTTATTTTTTTCAAAAAGAAATCGAGGTACAAGCTGCTGAAAGGACTTCCAACTCTCCTGCCTTTCAACCACAGAGATTCGATCTCCAGAAGGCTTAGGCCATAATTTCTTCTTGAAGTCAGTTTTGCAATCGCAATCGCGGACAAGTCCTTTTCCCGCGCACCGTTGAACTTGAAACGGAAAGTGAATGTCCTGTCTCCTGTTAGACACTCCAACTGTCTGCCGGCGGAGTGCTGGCTGGAAACGAAGTACAATCAGCACGCAATGTCTGCCGAAATACAACAAGAAAAAAATTGGAAGAAATGGAAAATAACCCACTGCAGTGCCCAGAACCCAACACTTTGGTGGCAGCAGCAGCAGCGGCAGAAAAAGGAAAATGCGCAGAGTGCAATAGGAAGTGGAAAAACGTCGCCTTTCCGCGACTGTCTGTCTCCTCACGCCCCCGCTGTGATGGGGGGGGGTTCCTGGCTGGTGGATGATGGTGGTTAGGTGGCTTTTCCATTGGGTTCCATGCGGTTGAGTTGTGGAAAAACTCACTCCTCTTTGAGCTCACTCACTCTTCTCACATTCTTATCGTACGCTGGCTCTGCGGCTTCAGCCTGCCAATATTTATGTTTAGATTGCATTTGGCACATTGATTTAAATAACGAATTTGAATTTTTCCCCATTTTGATATATTTATCGCATTTGTTGTGTTGGCTCTCTGGCCAAAGTCAAGGAAAATTTGTTTTGTTTTTTACTCCTTGAGGGGTTGAGACCAGTTTTCCTGGCGGAAGTTACCCCTCGTTACTCATCCCGGTTGCACCAGCGCCTCACGTCCCGTCTGGTGGGGGATTTGTGTGTTGGCCACAGTTTATTCACTTATGGACTCGTTGGACTTCCGATTACTGGCCGGCCGACCAAACGCTGCTCCTGCTGATGGTATTTATCATCGTTTTTTTCAGTCAGCTTTTTGTTTCACATAGTTTGCACGTTAAATGTAGTCAATTAGCCAAAAACCAGGCAAGTTTTTGTTATATTTTTTTGGTTGTAAGCCGGTTGAAAAGTAATTGTTTTGCGGTTTAAAAGATACTTTTATTTTGTAGGGAATTTTCTGATAATAATTGGATATTTTCGTTGGGCTTTTTATGAAGTAAGGAGTATTTTAAGGAGTAAACTTTAGCAAAAACACACCTGCCAAATCTTTTCATGGTTATATAAATAAAACAATATAATCTTTGCTTTAATGTAGAATTTGAACTTATTATTTAAATTAGAAATAAACAAGCTTAAATTTTAAACTTATCAAAGTGTATAATTTCTCCTGTTATTCAATAATTTGAATAAACATATATTTGCGTCATAAGTCTATGGTATTATTGGTTCCCAAATATTTAATTTTATATATTTAATAAGAGTCTTAACTCTTCCGCTTTCTTTTAAAATTAAACCTTAAAAACCTTTGAAAACTTGTAACTAAATTTGATATTTTAAACATTTACAGCATTTTTAAGACACTTATTAAATGAATTTTAGGTTCTCTGATTAATTTCCTTGATTATCCCAGAAACTTACAATTGTTTAACTCCGAAAAGCTGGCCCAGCTCAAGCCTGCAAATTGCAGAACTATCCAAATATCAGCAAAACTTCGCCTTCTCATCTTCTCCAAATTGAGCCGCCAAATTGAGAAACTTTTAAAATATTTTATTCCGTTTCTATTTTTCTATATATTTTGTTCAGTTTTGCACTTTCACTGGCCAAATAGCCCAAGTTGAACTTCCGCTACGTTAGTGTGAATTTATTTTTTCCGGCTTTTGGGTATAAAGTTTTTCTCTATGATTTTTATATATTTTTTTCGTTCTCCGATTTAGCCGGACAGACGTCCACACACTCTTGCAACTGGCCGCGAACTGCGAACAACGCTGATAATCAAGTGTCAAAATTCATATTCAAAATTCAAATGTTGCCTGGCGTTGCGCATGTGTCCTGCGGCGAGTCCTTGTGGGTGGTTTGTATGGTTGGCTGGGTGTGGAAAGATGAATGGGTGGCTGGTTGGGCGGTTGCCCAGGAGTCAAGGTGCCCCGGAGGTGAAACGGCAGAGGTATGCAATAGTAAATGTTTCATTCATAAAGCGCCCGCCGTAACAGTTTCATATGCACGTGACGTATAGTTTTGTGTGACATCTGTGCCAAGGGAAAGGGAAAGGATATAGTGAAGGGGACTGGGACATTTCATTGCCAGTTTTTTGGAGCCACATACCGTCTCCCAGCCAACTTCCAACTCGCTCTCTTTTCCCAATTCCATTCTAATTAACCCCGAAATTCCACACATTTCGCAGCATCTTCATCTTTTGCTCCAACTTTCACCTGTCTTCGCATCCTTTGGATTCGGAATATTCTGCCGCGCTTGCACTTTTCTCACTTTCTGTTTGCTGTTTGGTATTTGTTTTGCATGTGTGAGCTTTATAATAAGTTGGCAATAAGTTTTCTCCACCACCGGGTATTTGCGCACAATTAGCGCTTTTCAATAGCGATAACAATAATGATAACAAGCAAGTGAAATTGGCCAGGTTGTTGTTTTTCTGCGAGGAAAATCTTTTGCTAACACATGCAAGTTTCTTATTCAGATGGGTATTTTAAGGGATAAGTATGTTTGTTTTTAAGAAGAAGTACTCTTAAACTTAAGATTTTTCTAAAAAAATAATATTAATATATATTAATATTTGCATAAATAACATAAATAAATAAACAGAATAAATAACCTTGTTTAATTTAAAAACAACGAACTTTGGAAGCCCAAGTTTGTATTCCCTTGCTGTTCAAAGTCCCTATTAACATTTTAAAAAATTTTAAACTTTTTATTTCTGCCGGAGATAGCTATATCGAATTTACTGTTGATGCTGATCAAGAATATATATGATTTATACGGTCGGAAGTACCTCATTCAAAGCGTTACAAGCTTCATACTAAAACTATAACAATATTACACATACGCAGGGTTTCCAATTCTCAGAAGGAAAATAATTATCGATATAACTAATTTAATTTTAATTTTTTTTATATTTTATTAGACATTTTTTCAACAAGTTAAAGTTTAAAAATATCATAACTAAGCCAAAAAAGCATTAATTTTAATTTGGGAAGCTGTACTATGTTAATTTTTATTAAATTAATAAATCTTCATACTAAATATAAAAGTTTTAAAAAATTAATTTTTGACAAATTTAACACCTTATAAAACTTTGAAAAAATTAAAAAAAATATTTCTGCCAGAGATGTCTAAATTGATTCTCCTGTTAATGCTGATCAATAATATATACGATTTATAGGGTCGGAAATGACTTATTCAAGAGATACAAGCTTCTGAAGAAAATTATAATACCCAACTTAAGTATTTATATATATTTTAGTTCATATTTAAAAAATATTACTCATACGCAGTGTTGTCAATTCTCAGAAGGTACTTTGCTTGGCTTTATAAATAAAGAGCATAATAATATTAAAATAAAAGGGAGGAATATAACTATACATTATAACTAAACTATTCGCATTCCTTGAATTGATATTTATCGATTATACTATATAACAAGAAAGGAAGTTAACTTCGGCACGCCGAAGTTTATATACCCTTGCAGATAGAACTTCTATGACTAGGAATCCCTACAATATAAATTATATATATTTATGATTAAAAACAATGAAGTAACACCTGTTTTCATTTCATTCACCTAAACATATTTATATTTGCAGTTCATAGATTTGCATTTTTCCTCTACATCAAACGATCGTTTGTATGGCACAGTCGTCCGATTTTCATGAAATTTTACACAAAATTAAGACTAATATAAAATGGCTATACCTCAAACTTGATAAAAATCTGTTGAAAACTGAAAATGTTATAATTTTTTTTTTGAAAAATTTTCCGGTCATTCCAATGGCAGCTATATGATATAGTCGTCCGTTCCGATATATACGAGTGAGAGTATATAGAAGGCTAACTACAAAGTTTCATTCAGATGGCTTCAAAACTGAGTTAGTTTGGTGTAGAAACGGACAGATGGATAGACGGACAGACGGATAGACGGGCATGGCTAGATCGACTCGGCTGTTGATCCTGATCAAGAATATATATACTTTATATAGTCGGAGGTGCCTCCTTCACTGCGTTGCAAACTTCAGACTGAAATTATAATACCCTGCAAGGGTATAAAAAAAGAAAAGGAAACAAACAAGAAAAAAAAATCCTAAATAGGCTTATATTAGCAAGCTTAAAATCCTTATTTTTTTAGCGGGTTTTTGTGTGAAGAATTACTTTTGCAAAAATTATAACTCTGTTATTTAGAAGCATACCAATTCTTTGAAATTTGCTGTTATTTAAAAGCATACCAATTCTTAAAAATTTGCTTTTCAAATATAGACCAACTTATTTTAATATATATTTTATATTGAGCAGTTTCGATCATCACCATTGTTGCGTTCTTTGTGTAGTAAGTTGCGCTGAATAAACTATTTTCGGGAGTTAAGTATACTTTACTATAAACAAATAAATGACACCATATCACCGCTCGTCATGATCATCACGGCTCTTAAAGAGAGCTTGGAAGACTTTTCGAGATCAATAATAAGCTAGTCAACACGGCCAAGGGAATGGTAATTAAACAATAATTTAATATAAACCATATTTTCATGTATCTTGACTTTTTGGGCCTTGTTTTGGTTTCAATTATCAAGAGATATTTTATTAACGTCTTACCTTAATTAAGAAAACTATAATTTTTATGATTGCCACATCCACTTGATCAAAGTCTATCAACCACCAAGCACTAGATTAGTAATTTATATAAAAACCACACAAAAAGAAGAAGAAAACTAAACTTCCTCTAGCTAGGGCCTTGCTTAAGTATAAGACTTGAGAATCGCAGAGGAGAGCGCTCTATGTACCAAATAGTTAAACAAAGCCTATCTTTCAGTCGAAAGCTTGAAACTTAGTGAAGGAGTCATTTCCGATCCTATTTATTCATATATATTCTTGATCAGCATCAACAGCCGACTCGATCTAGCCATGGTTGCCACATCCACTTGATCAAAGTCTATTACCGCCAAGCACTAAATTAGTAATTTATATAAAAGAAGAAGAAGAAAACTAAACTTCCTCTAGCTAGAGCCTTGCTTAAGTGTAAGACTTGAGAATCGCAGAGGAGAGCGCTCTATGTACCAAATAATTAAGCAAAGCCTATTTTTCAGTCGAAAGCTTGAAACTTAGTGAAGGAGTCATTTCCGATCCTATTATTCATATATATTCTTGATGAGCATCAACAGCCGAATCGATCTAGCCAGGTCCGGCATAAATTTAATTTTTTTAAATTTTTTCGACAATTTTAAAATTTTTATAAGGGGTATCGTTAAAATGGTGAAAAATTGACGAAAATTTGAATTTTTTTAATTTTTAAATTGAGTATGCAGATTTGTTACCCTAATAAAAACTGAAATTAATGCATTTTTGGCTTAGTTATGATATAATTAATATTTGACCTCTTAATACTTTGCTAACTTCAAAGGTATTAAGAAAATTATTCATGTCTTTTTTTTGTATATAAAATAAGTTTTTAATATATGATTAGTGTACTTACCTTGAACTTCTATGAGTAGGAATCCCTAAAATATAAATGATATATATTTATGATTAAAAATAATGAAGAAACACCTGTTTTCATTTCATTCACCTAAACATATTATATTTGCAGTTCACAGATTTGCATTTTTTCTCTACACAAAACGATCATTTGTTTGGCACCTAACATATATGATACAGTCGTCCGATTTTCATGAAATTTTACACAAAATTTAAGACTAATATAAAATGGCTACACCTAAAACTTGATGATGATCTGTTTAAAACTGAAATAGTTGTAATTTTTAATTGTATTAATTTCTCGATCGTTCCTATTGGAGCTATATAATATAGTAGTTCGATTTTCATAAAATTTTACACAGAATTGTAGAGTATAATAAAATGGCTATATCTCAAATTTGATAAAAATCTGCTGTAAACTGAAAATGTTATAATTTTTTTTGTAAACATTTTCCGATCATTCCTATGACAGCTATATGATATAGTCGTCCGATCTGGCCCGTTCCGACATATATATGAGTGAGAGTATATAGAAGGCCAACTACAAAGTTTCATTAAGATAGCTTAAAAACTGAGAGACTAGTTTGCGTAGAAACGGACAGACGGACAGACGGACATGGCTAGATCGGCTCGGCTGTTGATCCTGATCAAGAATATATACTTTATATGGTCGGAGGTGCCTCCTTCACTGCGTTGCAAACTTCTGACTGAAAGGGTATAAAAATTGTATGACAAAAATATTACTCATACGCAGTGTTGTCAATTCTCAGAAGGAACTTTGCTTGACTTATAAAAAAGAACATAATAATTTTAAAATACAAGGAAGGAAAATAACTACCATTTATAACTAAACTAGTCGCATTCCTTGAATTGATATTTATCGATTTTACCATATAAAAGTTGTACGACAAATCAAAATTTGAAAAACTCATAACTCAGCCAAAAAAGCACTAATTTTAATTTGGAAAGCTTTCCTATGTTAGTTTTTATTAGTATAATTATTCTGCATACTTAATATAAAATTAAAAAAAACTTAAAATTTTTGATATATTTTTGACATTTTTAACGATGTAACCTCTTATAAAATTTTGAAAAAAATTACCAAAAATTAATATTAATAAATTAATTAAATTGAACAAAAATATATGTGAAGCCCTGCCTACACAACTTATTATATCGCAATGAACAGTGGCGACATCTAGATACAAAATTCGAAACTACATGTAAAATACCGTTAGTACTTTGGTTCAATTCCAAAAGATGGCGAATGTTCCATTATGATTTGACAGTATGGCTACTCTAGTATTTAGGTATATTAAAAATATAAAGATTTCCAGTTTATTCAGTATTTTTATACCATAACTTCAGTTTAAGGTTTTCCCATATTACATATTAACTTTTTTGTCAACTAATTAAACGTTGCTAATGATAAATAAACCGTGAAAATACAAGTAATAGCTTAACATTTTGGATTTTGTATGACATACTCTCAGTTTATTTGTCTGAATCATGTTGCTGCATCGCTAGTCTCTTTTATAATATACTAATTCAATTTTAATAGAATCTAGCTGAGAATAGTGATGAAGATATAGCAAAGTCTATTCAGGTTCCATTCTGGCCTTGGGGGATCTCAAGCAATTCGAGAACTCATATATGGATCAACTGAATAATTATGTAAGATCTCTGCAACAAAAAGTGGATATCTGAGAAGGTATGATAAGCAAAATATATAAAAAATACAAAATTAATCATATTTTTATCAGATTTACAGACTCGATAAAACATAAAAATCTTGATAATAAGTCAGTCAAATTGAATATATATCAAATCCCCTTAATTCCTTTCAACTTGTGAGACGACTCATGAAGATTGGCCCAAGTGGTTGAATTACATTAGGGATCACAAAAATGAAGGTATGTGAAATTATTCTTAATCCCTTAACTATGAAATAATTTATTTTATTCTTAAATTTAAGATAATCAGCTCTCCGAAATGCATCAACTTTTAAATCGTACACCAACTGCCGAGGACTTGGAAGAAGCTTCATTGGGAATGTATCGCATTGAGCATTTCTATAATCTAAACTCAATGGACATGTCACAGGGTCTACTAGCTGGTCAGCAATTAGAGTAAGAGTCCTGAAGACCAATAATGTAAGTTTCCTTTAAAATACCTTTTCTTTTTAGAACCCAGATGTCCGCTTCAGATTGCCTGGCCCTGGCTGACTATATGTTCAATAAGTCGGAGTATAGAAGAGCAGCTCAATGGTATCGACTGGCACTATATAATATTAAAGAGCCTACGAATAGGATTGCTCTTGAAATTTACAAACCAAATCGAGAGGAACTTCGGAAAATGTTTGTTATAAGTCGGCTTCATGAAGGTGATCTCTGCATGAGAGATTAAATATCCCTTTAGTGTTATTAAATCTCCATAAATTCCAGGTTCCCTTAACAACATAAGTGATTACTTGGACGAAGTCAACCAGATCCCGGGATTCCCCTCCCTTACTTAAAGCCCATTCACCTGCCACTGCCATTGAACGAGGATGTCGAGGAGAGTTTCCACCTCGTCCTAGGCTCGTGTGTCGCTACAACTTTACCACCACTCCATTTATGCGTATAGCACCCCTCAAGGAGGAGGAGATTAGCAAGGATCCACTCATGTGGCTATATCACGATGTACTCTATGACAGCGAGATAGCTCATTTTATAAATCTGACGAGTGATGACTTAACCCAAGGATATACCGATAACTATACAACTCCCAAAACACCAGAACGCGTCTTCAAGTAAAAGTTACCGATGATGATGGCTGCAAAGTGGACAAAGCTTTGGTGAATCGGATGACGGATATATCAGGCTGGCAATGGGTAATGTTACTTCTCTGGCCAGAGCCAACTATGGACTGGGTGGGTATTTTCCAGAGCACAGTGACTACAGGGACCCAGAATTATCCGGTAGGTAAACTGTAAATAAGTATAGAAAATTATATTATAAGGTTTATTATATTTATAATACATGTAATAAATATTTTATTAATTAGGAAATGGTCAAGGAGGGCGATCGTTTACTTACATTTGTTTTTTATGTACGTAATTGTCAATTTCCGTTTTAGGTATCGGATATTTTACTTTTAATATTATATTACTATTTTACTTCCATTTAATATAGGCCACCGATGTCCCCTTGGGTGGTGCCACCATTTTTCCCGCAGCCAATCTTACCATTCAACCAAAAAAGGTTCGGCGCTTTTTTGGTACAATCTTCACAATAATTGGGATCCAAATCCTTTGACCAGACATGCTGTGTGCCCCGTGATCCTGGGAAATCGATGGAGTGAGTTTTTATATCTCCACTGAGGTTTACTTTTAATTATTATATATTTTCAGTTTTTACCAAAAGCATGACAAACTATTATCAGATGTTTACCAAGCCATGCTACAAGTAGTAGCTTCAAAATTTAAGAATTAATAATAATATAAAATGTATTTAATTTTTAGATCTACTCACACATATTTTTAATGATTACTTCAAATGATAAATGATGCTTCGAGTTGTTATATTACTATATAAAATGGTGTTATTACTAGGAAATGATTCTCTTAGAGGAGTATATAAAATAGTACTTATATTTACTACATAGCTAAACGATTAAGAAATGCTATCCAGTTAATGATGAGCCACAATATGAGCCACAATCAGCCGCCTGGATTTTTATTTTACAGTACATATATTTATATATCCCATTAAGATTCAGTTCAATTATCCTCTGTCCTTTTATTGGTAATCGATGGCTTATTGGGTGGCACATAGAACCACCAAGCCCCTAGGAAGAACACGGCGGACCCCAGTTTGCAGATCAGGGCCAAAAGCCACATATAGCTAAGGGTTTAAATATTATTATTATTATAAAGTTAATAAATAAAATAGAGAGCTCTACAGACCGACTGATATAAAAGTTATCGTAAACAAGGCAAGCTCCACCTGCTTCCTTGTCGCAGGACTCATGCCACAAAATGCAGGACTCATCAATCAACGCGCCAAATATAAGAGGAGCCGGTATGGTGCCCAGCAGGCGCACCTTTATCCACTGCAGACCCAAGGCGAAGGATCGTTGCTCATCCTGAACGCATCTAAAATTGAAAATTAAAATTTATAATAATAAAGTAACTGTTAACTGTGCCTTAAAACCTTGTTTATATTACCTCAAGGTAGCCGACAATGCGGGCATGGTGGCCAGAAAGGTGAAGATCATCAGAATTAAACAGAGGCCCACGAATAAGGGCAAACTCTGGCACGTGGAATCGCACTTAAGATTGGTGGCCTCCGACCGTGGTAAGCCATCCTCCACTTCCAAATCCACCCAGCCAACGTTTCCAATGCAGCTGCAGTTGTGGTAATGCTTCAGACTGTCCACATGCTCCTCCTGGCTACATCCCGCATAACAGGGACTGTAGTACATCACACCATTAACACCACAGATGGGATCATAGTTCGAGCGACTGCATTCACAGTTGACATTGCAGGGTGCCTCCAAGGAGATGGATCCGCTTCTAGACTCCAAATTGTATCCAGTGGTGACGCCAGCAAACTTAGGATTCGGACAAGAGACCAGAAAGCAGAAGGTGAACATTGCTGCCACTGTGGTGGCCATCAGGCACATCTTGATGATGCCACTGCAGGTCAGGTTCCACTTTTTCACCAAGTAACCACCGAGAAAGGTGCCACCACCACCCGCTGGTACCGTGATCATGCCCATGACCAAAGCCGAGAGCATGGGTGAGATGCTGAATTGGTTCTCGATTTGCTTGGGCAGAAAGGCAGCGAATCCAGCAATGATCAATCCCTCAGTGGCTCCAGCCAGGTTCAGGAAAAAGAAGGTGGGATTACCAAGCAAGCTGAGCACAGCCCGAGGTAGTTTTCCCAGACCTTTGGATGACCCTTCCTCATCAGATTCCGTTTTGGTGGCATGTGCTTCAGAAACTCTTTCCAATTGCAGCTTTTCCGACCCTGGCAGGGATTTTGGATAGCCCAGGATGGGCAAGGCCACAAGGAGACACATGGCAGCTGCAAAAATAAAGCCAAGCCACCAGGCACCTATCCACACTTTGCTGTCACTGGTCAGGCTGAGTCTGAAAAGGAGCGAATTAATCCATTATTATTTACTTATTTTATTAAGCCAAATATCTATTATATTCCTGAAGAAATAATTACCAAATTAAGTCGCGAATTCAAATAAAAAAGCCAGCAAATAAAGCTTAAAATAATCCTATTTTCCGGGTATCTGGCTTTCTGGCTTTCTTTTCTGGCTTTTGTAAATTAACTGAAATGGGAATTTATATATTTTCCACTAAATTTATCTGCTCAAAGGAGGCAGCAAAAGGTTGCCAAAATATATTTGTTTAGCCTCTAACCACTCGTAAACATGTAAAAAATCATAAACAAAATGTTCATGTTCTCGGCATAATTCATGGAGAAGGTGAAAGGGCAACTTTTTTGGGGCAGGAGAAGGTGAAGGTGGAGTTTGGAGGTTGGAGTGTACCAGCATTATGACTTATGGCATCACCGTGACAATAAGCCATGCCATACGCTGGTGGTATCCATGAGGACTCTGGGATGCAGATGGCTTGTTGCTTTGGAATCTGGCAGTCCTTGTGGTTCTCCCAGAGACTTCTCCACTTCGTTCTTCCCTCTCCACCGGAGAATGTGAATCAAACAAATGCTCATTCTCATTCGCACCTTATTTCCTCGTTGTCAGCACGAAATGTTGTTTTATTACTCTCTAGAGATATTTACCCCGGGTGGAGGTGCTTTTGTGGCATTTGCTGTTGCCGGGTTACAAATAAGCTCACCTCGGTGGCAGTAACCCTCCAATATTAAAGTCACCTGTTTTGTGTGTTCCCCCTCAGCCCCACTCACTCAATCATTCGGGGCACTAAGTCGTGCGATTAATAACAATCATGGATGGCACTTACTGCACAGGATCCACGGTCATCCAGTCCGTGTAGATACGCAGCAATTGTCCACCAAAGACGTAACCAATTGCGGGTCCAACGGTGGCCATGGTGTAGTAAATGCCTGCAAAAATAAAAAATAAAACATAATCTCAACTTAGTAGACCAAAACTCATCTCAATTAAGGGAGAATATACTGCCATTGGTTCAAATTTGTCACAGGGTTTTGCCAAATGTGATTATCAGTCAACTGCATCTAAATTTGCATGACAAAAGTCTTCAACTGCGACCCTTCTTTACTTGGATGGAGTACAGTGGTTTACAGAAGTATAAGTCCTTCATATGTTTAATATTAAACAAGGTTCCAAATATATAAATACTTTAAGACCTTATTTAAGGTATTTATGAACTGATTACAATAGTACTCTCGGAACATATTGTAAAGTTATATTTTGAAGAACACTTTCGATAACCAATTTAAAGAAGCTCAACGTATTACCTATATATTTTCTAGTCAAATAATTATTAATATGTTTTAGCTAGAAATGTATAAGAATAACTTACAAAAGGATACAAATCCTACTTTCTGAAACGAAAAGTGCAATGCCTAAGGACACACTCATCGTGGATATCCCCATGTGAAGTGAAATCTATGTGGCAGGAGCGAGAATTTCAATTGTCTCAATGCCAGACAACGGAATCCAAAAAGGAGGCAACGGGCCGACACTGGACGGGTTTGATAACTTCACTCTCGTCCTCGGATGCCACGATAAACTTAACTAAGAGGCAATAAATTTGCGCTGCCGTTGGCGCTTCGCGTCCTAAGACCTAATACCGACCCCGCTCTGATTCCCGGCTGACTCAGCGACAATCTTTTGGCTCTTTAAAATTGGGTCAACAGAGGGGGGAAGATGGAAGCTGGATGACACGGGACCGTAACCAAAACCGAAGCCGGGGATCCATCCACCCCGCTGGATTCAGAGTCTGGGGGGCTTTGGTAAATACTATTTTACTTCGCTTTGGCAATATGGCGAATAAAAATAAATATGCATGTGTGAGAGCAACTAACAGATACTAGATACTTTGATATCTGGAGCGTATACATGAGAGTGTGGAATGGGTATTTGTGCATACTTCATTTGTTGTGCGACTCCCAACTCCGACTTGCGGCAGACAAAAGTTTCTGCGTCTTATCAATGGTTCAATCGGAGAATCGTTTGCAACTTACCCAAGTAAACAGACGACATCTTCTTTGAGACATTCTCATCGATATATGTGACGCCCAGCGTAAACAGGGGTGAGGCACCAGCTCCATGGAGCAGTTGAGCTCCCAGGAACAGCCACACAGTCCAGGTTAGGCTCTCGCTCTCACTCCCCGTCTCCATATCGCAGGATCCCTGAAATTTCGTGGTGGGAATTAGCTGGGGGTTAGGAAGAAGCCTCCTTTACCATTTACCATTGTTGTCTGACTGGAGTTAAGCTGGAGTCCTGCTGTCTCACACACATTCGCCTCATCAATGGATGCCCTGTAGTTACCCACCAGGAAGTGTGGCAATAGAAAGACCAATGATCCCATACCCATCACGATCAGACCAATGGCTATGAAACGTGGCTTGGAGGCACCACGTCTTCCTCCATAATATGTGACCGGCACCAGGCAGGCAAAGGAGGCCACATCGTAGCCACTGGCCATCAGGCCAGTCTGACGGGAACGTAGACCAAAGCGTCGCTCAATTGTGGAGATGGAGACATTATTAAACCATTGACAATGAGACCTGCAAAGGGAAAGGGGTTTTAGTTAAACCTATATATATTTTATCATTTTTACTGAGTGATTTAATACAAATATTAAACCCAATTTGATCTGTGACCAATCAGTGCAACATAAAACTTTCTAAGCTATTCCAATCAAAGTCTTAGTTTATCTTAAACGTTTTCCGGTATGGACTCTTCAACCCTCATCCTCCCAGGATCATCCCTCAAGTGTCATAATATGGTGTAAGGATGTCAGAGGACAGACCAGCGACAGATTGTCATAGAATACGAGAGGACATGGAAAGGAAACTGATTCCTAGCTTCTATAGAGGTGGTGGAATATAGAGCGTGGCGGGTCATAAATTAAATATCTGTACGACAAATTGATTTCAAGAGCTTAACCGTATTTTCTATCGTAAATAAATATGTGTTAGTTCGGGGAACGCCCTCTTCCTCCTTCTCCAAAACCATTGTTGCTTACAATATTATATATTTTTTTGCCAGCAACAAATTCAATTTATTTTTCAATAATCGCCTGAAAGAAGACCACTTCTGGTCATCTTTGGAAATAAAGGTGAAAGAAATGTTTTTTTTATGTCATAGAAGGAAGAAGGAAACAGTTTTTTTATGGCTAAGGACACTTACAAGTCATTTACCCCATCAAAGGCAATAATTAATATCTACCAATAGAAACCTTGAGATGGGGAGGAGATAGAGGGATGAGACTACTCTAGTAAGAGTGTGTGACCTTTGACTTCAAGTGTGGAGTGAAGTGCCGACGGCAGCGAAGGA